AAAACTGAGCTTAATGGTCGTATATTTATTTTAGATTTTATTATTTGTTGGTAGATAATGCGCGGCCTAGTACCTCGGGAAGGATAGTGGTGAATCCTCATCCAATTTGTAGTAAAGGTTGTGCCGTCTGTTTCGGACACACATCATCCAAGTGAGGTATTTCAATTGTTTTTCAGTTGATGGTTGATCGGATAAAGGTGTCAATGCTGATAATGGTTTCCATTTATTTTCTTGTTGTTCGGGCCAAGGAAAGCTAGTCTCCAATTGTTCTAACACAGGTTCAATATTGTCCAAATGTGAACATCGTAACTCTCCCATGTCACTGCAATGTTTTATTATAGTTTTGCTTATGTACCTTTTGTCTACGTATAACGACAAGTTTCCCAGTTGTTCTGCAAGTACGTCCAACAAGCGAACATCGGGCCTCCAACGTGTGCTTACTTGGACAACTATGAAATCATTAGGAGGCCGTATCTGTACGGCTGCTGGAACTATTGCTTTTAGCTTGGCACTCAGATCACTGATATTTAGCACTCGCTCAGCCAACGAGCATTGTTCTATGAATTCTTGGTACAACTGTCCAGTAACTAGCAATAAATTTTTATGCAGTAAATGGTGCTGAGATGTAGGAGGTTGAACCGTTAGATTTGGTGTCAAGTGATCGAAATTTGTTACAATGTTCGATTGTTGAACTGATGTTACAGCGATTTTTGGTGGTTGAACAGACGTGACAGTTATTTCAGGTGTTATTAGTGGTGGTTGTTCACAACCTTCTGGATCGACTTGTGGCTGATACCTATATATAGGGTCACTTGATCGCTTATTAATGTGATGTAAGGAGCACCGTTGACAGTGGAATTTCCTGTAAATGAGTAACGCGACAATTTCACAGAAAAATTAATTGAAAAATGTTATGTTTAATTTTTAAATACAACCAGTGGCACTGATTCTCGATTGCGAATAAAATATAATTTTTGAGTAGGTTATAGTGAGAAATTAGTTAGTTTTCTGGATACTATTATTAGATGAAATAGGTTCAAAATATTTTGTTAAGTGTAGAGTTTTATTTTATTTATACGCAGTTCAAATTATAGCAATAATCAAGCACATTGAATGAAAATAATTTAAATTTCATAAAATATATTAATTTATAATATTTAGGGAAATTTGTACTTAGTAAGTCTTTCACAAAAATTGTTTTACATAGTATTTTAATACTGTATATCTATTTATAATGTAAATATTAAAATTTTATGTAAAAATTAAAAAAATGCTATTCTATTAAAAAAATATAACAATCTATGTGAACAATTAAATAAATTATACAAGTATATATACATTATATGAGATTATTTTTTTGTGATCCAGTGAAAAAATAAGATAAGTTTACTTTAAAGAATTTCTTAAGAGCTTCAATTAAAATTGTGTACCATCATGAGAGTTAAATTTAATTTAATATTTTAAAATAAAATAAAACGATGACAAAAATGAAATATTTATTATTATTAAACAAGAAAAAGAAATGCTCAGATTTTTGTATTTATTTCATACCTTATTTTTCTAAAAATGTCACTTACTTCTTTGGAGCGCTAGACCATAGGTTTATATTTCAATATATATTATATTATTATAATATATATTGATATTATTCAATATATATTTATATTTCAATGATATGACAGTAGCGCTCTAATGATCAATTTTAGGTCAGTGTGTATGTAAGACTTGAGCTATATGTAAGAACAGAGTTAAATGAGCCCCAATGTGATATTTTGATAGGAGTCACTTTGAATTGAAAAATGTTTTAAAAACAAGTTTTAAGTGGTTTTAATAAATAATCAACAAAGTATAATTATTTTATTTACTTAATATATATATATATATATATTTTTTTAATGTTTCTATATTAAAACATTTTGTATTTCCATTACACATATTTAGAAGAAGTAAAAATTTAATGGATATCTAATACGCTTGATTTTTTTTCCTTTTAAACCTTGATCTATAGATTACTTATAAGTAATCGTAAGTTATAATAATATATTTCAAACACGACTTTTTAGAGGAATAGTACTCACAAGATTGATAGAATTTAAAAAGCTAGCCTAATGCTACGCTAGTGAATCAGTATAGTTTTACACTACCCAGAACTGAATATTCATATTAAGCCCGTTTGTTTATAACACACATATTTGTAAGAAAAAAAAAATATGAACAAAAAAAAACCTTTTAGTAATAATTTTTTCAACTCTACTAAGTGAATAAACGTTCATTTTTGTATCTATCAAAATTATCTAGAATCAAATACCGCTTATCAATCAATCTTAATTAACGACAATGTTAAGAATATTGATATGAAAAGATGCATTGACGACTTTTAATTTATATTAAGAAGAAACTTTCAATCAATTAACTCAACGATCCCTATTGTGACAGTTAAAATAACCCAATGTAGTAGTAATAGTTTAATTAAAAATATTGAGACGAAATTCTTCGGAAATTTTTTTTTTCATTTTAGTTGAAATATCAGTCCTGGGCTAGGTAGTATAACTTAAAATGAAACATTGTAGGGGAAAACACACTTAATTGTTAGCATCTTACCACCTATATCCAAAATATGTGTTTATATGGTAAATAGTGTACTATTTTCATACACAATACTGATAAAAATTATGTCGTTGATCGATGAATAAAGTATAAATAGTAACCCTAGAGGGTGACTCCATCTTAGATTTTAATTAATATTTTTATTCAATTTTGTTAAGTACTTACTGAGTACCCGAAATCGCAATTTGACTGATAATTATGAAAACATAGACGGTGTAGCTGAGAAAAAATTTCGTCATTTGGCTTGCTATAATATATAAAAGTATTAGTAACAATTTTTTGTATTATGCTCAATTTAAAAACATTTAATGGTTATAATCTATAGAGTTAAATTTAGGCGTGGTTACAGGCAATATTCTTACTAACAGATAGATCTGCCCTCAAAGGGGTTCTCTACATTATTATTTAGGTATAATTGACGTATGGTACAACACAGGGCGAAAATTCCAGCAAAAAAATTAACTCGTGACATTTTCAAGAGTTGAAATTAGCATTAGATCGAATTATCATAAGATTTTATGTTTGGTGTTAGTTCATTTATAACTTTTACGCAAAATATTAAGAAATTTATCTCTTCACGGTAGTGCCGTATATAATTATACAATACAATTTTTCTTACTTCCTCGTTGTATCAAATGAGTCTATAATTTAGGTTCTGTGGTTTTTAGTCAACCCCCCCTGCAAATACGTCGCTGTTTTATGATATTCATCTATAGATTCTATTTTAATTCATCAATTATTTAAATAATGATATAAATTTTTAAAACGTAATTTACAAATTAAATAATATTTATATCATAAATGTTAATATAAATATAAGTTTATATAAATAATGTATTTTATTTTTATTTTTTTGTAATAAGATAATTATGTAGGTTAAACATCTGTTTTTAAAATCTTCAAGGAACATTCTATGTAATCTATTGATCTTTATGTAACTCTATCGGTTTAAACGTTGGGTCGTTGGCGCTTATAATTAAAAATCGTTACCAAATGTTCTCGTTACTCATTCATAGGTTATTTGAATAGTTTTTCGAATAAAAATTAACAACACTAGATTTATATATATATATATATATTTGTGTGTGTGTGTGTATGTATATTATGTTCTAAACAAACGTGTGTGTTACTTAAAATTCTATCGCAAAGAAGTGAAAAGAGGCAATATTTTTTTTTTACATTCGTTATTTAATATTTTTAATATAACACTGGTGTGTGGCACTCCTAATAAAATTCCAGGTGTCATCTCATCTTTTTAAAGCCCTTATTGTTAAAATTAGATTTTGAGGTCACTATAAAAATAAACGCTTTCAATAAACTACTATGATTTAATTTATCTAAACTTCAACTTAGTTAATTAAAACTTTTTACCTACTAATTATTTAATCAATGGTAAGTCATTGGTAATTTTTTTCATTTCAAAGGCTTAAGATTTAGTGGCATATGTGGTTATGTAAAATTTTATCAATCAAACTATAAATCTTACCCATATCATTTTGCTATTAGTTTTTTTAAAAAGCTTTGCTTGACACTCATATATGTTGGATTTACTAGCGGATTACTCATATCAGCGGTTACATAATAAAAGTGTACTCAGCGTTAATGAAGTAACCAACAAGAGCGCATAATGGACGGCACGAAGGGTTGAAGAACACTGTTCACATATATTAGTTTATATTTTCTTTTACAATATTATTTATTCAGTCCTGACCCTTTGCAGGTGTAATAGAATAACATCGAAGCGTTGATGGTAAGGTCGTAATAGGTTTCACTAAGCCGGATATCATTGCGTACGCTCTAGTAAACTTAAATACACAATTTAGATTACTGAGATTTTTTACGTATATATATTTATATATACACCCAAAGAAAAACCTCAATCAAAATTGAAAGAGAAATTTTATCAAGGGTTTATGATAATGTTTTATTAATACGAACAAAATAACTATTCTTATAAATAATTATTGTTCAAGACAAGAAAAAAAATATCATATTGATAAATATATCATTGATTCAATAGTAATGATATATTTATCAAATTGAACAATGAATTTATTATATAGATCGAGGTTTTTCTCTGGGTGTACGTGTGTAATTTAACCCCATCTATTATTTACCCAGCTTCCAAGATTAATGAATAAAAAATTCTGCGTATCTTAAACTATCATTTATGCTAATTAGTAAAAAAATAAATAAAAATAGTAAAAAATAATAGTTAATATTAAGTTAATAAATTTAATTAAAAATTGTCTAAATAAATAACAAAGAACTAATTCATTTTCTTTTTTAAGAATTGGTCGGATTTAATTTATCTTTAGATCTGTTTTTCAATTTATACAAAGCCATTCCTCCAAATATTGTTCCAAAAGTTAACATGGCAATCTAAAATAATTAAAAAATAATTAATTTAAAAATTTCAACAAATAAGCAAACTTTTTTAATAAATTAAAAATTAAGTTTACTTCACTAATTTATTAAAATAAAATACTTAGAAAAAAAAACCAACTTTGAATAAAGTATACCCTAGTTATTATTATATTACAAATACTATTTATGTTTTGTTATGTCATCGTTAAATACGTCTTTAACTTTTCGAAAATTGACCCTATTATGTGTTAGTTAATACTTGGATGGACTTACATTTTTTATTAATAGACTATTAAAAATATCATAATTATTAATTTGGCTATTAATAATATTAAAATTAATAATTATGATCTTTTTTATTTTGTATTAATTTAACTACTATCCAATTGTTTTTCTATTAGTACATCTAATTCCAATAAAACTAACACTTACATTAAAGCGTCCGTCAACCGTGATAGTATTGAAAGTTTTTCTCCATCCCCTTAATTTAGCAATCTCTGTAGGATCCCACTCCTCGGCCATTTTAACACTTTCGAAAGCTTTGTAAAAATATATTGCTTTCTAAAATCTATAAAAAATAATGTAATCAATGCTTGTTTTTGAAAAATAAGAAGAATACAAATTTAATTATAAATAATCTTTACAAATTCAAGTATACAAAAAAAAAAAAATGGAAAGAAGTCAAATAAACAAATTTTTATAGGCTAAACAAAACAATATAATTTCTTTTGTGTATGAAAAATTAATACTATAGCAGCCAGTCTGTTATTTAATTTCATTTAGGCCCTATTACTATAAATTTTCAATACATAAGTCATAATATAGAATACAAATTGGACGCTGTTCATTTTCACGAATATTCAAAATTGAATTTTATTATTTTAATTTATTGCTTATTAGATCGGACTGATATATTTCATTTAATATTAAAAAATTTAAAATAGTTTAGTTAGAATAATTTTCATCAGACGTTTTATTAAAAAAATTAAAATATTGGACTAATTCATACTTATATGGTTATATTCGGTATGCACTGGCTCAACTAAACTATGCAGAACTATACTACATGGGTGTTCAGTTAGTATGGAAACTGGTTTCTATTGTTTTTCATTGTTTGTAACAATTAACCTGTTTCCTAACCTACTGAACACTCTGTATATCTTACATGCATCTCCTCACAATTAGATTCAAATATTTCTTGTGACTGCCCATAAGGGAATTTTAAAAAGAAATTTTTCATACAAGTTAATCTTTTTCAGCTTAAATTTTTGAAAGTGTTCCTGAAATATTGACACTTTTATACATATCTTAAAATAAAGCTTATGTAATATACTTTAGTATGAAAAAAAATAATTTCGAGATATAGATCGTCTTCGTGATAAAAATGGCTACCATTTTGAACGAGTGAAATTTTTTCAAATTTTGAGGGTAATGTCTTCGACTAGATACGATTTGGGATCTTTTGACGTATCCTTGAAAGAAATCGGTACACATTATCATAGTAAAACTAATACCTTCTCAGCTTCTCATCGAAGCTAAAAAATTGGATATTTATACAATTTTTAAAACAATTTGTATGTTTTATTTAAGTTCCTTCATGATTTAAATAAAATATAAATATATTTTATTAATTGTCACGATTTTCATCAAGATTTATATTTAATAATTATAAAGACCAACATTTCTTTCTAAAATATTTAACTCTACGTTAATGACTATTTTTTTTTTTTAATTCGTTAAAAAGTTTTGGGTGTCACAAATAATTATAATTTCCATATAAAAGAAAATATAATGGAAAATAGACGCCCTCGTGTTATCTAAATCGTGCCAATTTGCATTACGAGATGACTGTATATTTAAATTCAAGGTACTTAAACAACAAAACTGTCATATTTTTTATTAACATACATGAAGTGTACAATATAATAGTTAAGATAAAATTGAATAACGAATTATTAATTAGCTCACGTCAGAAATCTTACTTTCTTATTTAATGATTATTATTTAAAACTTATTGTGATTAGTAAACATATTGTAATTACTTAAATTTATTTTTTGTAAAAATGTAATAATTTATTTATAATTAATTTCTTCCTATTTGTCTATACGTTTTGCCAAGTTACTTGGTACTAATATTTTGATGTAAATATCCACAAAATAGCATAAAATACAATATATTATTATGTTCTTTAAAAATAGAGTCGACCTTAATCGTGCATGCAAAAGATGTTTTGTCCGCCCTAGTGAACAGCGCCAAAAAAAAAAACATTGAAAAAAATATCAGAAATCTGCTGGCGATAATTATTGCAAAGCCTCTGGTAGTGTTCGACTAGTGGCGGAAACCTGAAAACTTGGAAACCCTCCGGACATCACAATAGTATTGCCTAAGCGTTATCAGTACACCGTGTTCTCGCAACACTACTATTCGGAATTTCTTTAAGTAAGTTTATCTTATTTATTCATCGAAACAATTTTTTAGCTTGTATATTATCTATTGTTTTCTTTCGAAATGATAATTTAGACACATCATACTGTTTTTACAAAACGTTTAAATACTTTTTATAAATATTGTACGATAATTATTTTTATTTTTAGAAATTAATCAATTAGTTCGTCACAAAAATTTCCTATTTTTTTTCTTATTATAAATTAAATAAATAAAATACTAAATAATTAATATAAAACATAACTACTTTGAGCAACATTAATAGTTTTATTTGTTTGCGTTGGCTATGCCCCAGTGTGTAACTGCTCGGCATGCGCATATCGATTAGATTTAGGATGTCCGTACTTCGTGTTCCATTAAACTGTGCACGTTACGTTTATATGTAATATTCGCAACGCCTGATTGACACAAGTACATTTTGTTTAAAGAGTGCAACTGTAATTTTAAGTGATTGTGTATGACTGACAAGCAAAATTATCTATAATTTGTCGTAAGCTCTAATACATACTTTATACCTACCTAGACAAATTAAAATAACGATCGTACTATTCATTTATCAACGACAAGATCATATTTCATATTAAAAACATTATATTTTATCGAAAAGGATAAGTATTACTACAAAAGCAAAATTAAAGTATACAATTCAGAATATTTGATTCCCCACTCATTATTTCTTACTTAAAGAATTTTAAACAACTTAAAGGAATTCATAATGGAGAGGACATAATAAAAGTTCTTTTTAAAACAACTATGAAAATTTATGAATAGTTATTGTTCATTATTTAAGGTAATGAATTACGAAATAAAGGGCTCAGGGCAAAGTGATCCTATTTTTCCAATTGATATTTTGCCAAGACTTTTTGTATTTTATTTTTAGTTTTAACGTAAATTATATTTTTTTGTAAAAAATGTGTTTTGTTAGTACCTGTTTAGTGTTAGTAATATATATATATATATATATCAAGATAGACCACATAAATGTTTAATTGAAAAGTGATCAGTTTTATATCCATCTATTTCCCGAACTTAACATGTTATAAAGGGTGATAGCCCTAACATGTGAATGTTAGCGAGTCAAAGATGGTTCTTGGCTAGGCCAATGATGGACGGAACGGGTATTATTGGCCGGCTTGCATCAGAGACCAGACACGAACAATGAGAAAATCAAAAGAAAAATCTTGTTGGCACCCTTGGGTTTGAACCCGGGACCATATGCGCCGAAACATACGTTTGTACCCACTAGACCAGACTGACCCCTTACATAAATGTTCAGGTATATGAAAAAAATAATGATTTTAGGGTTAAAATTTTCACTTGACCCATAAAAAGTTTAAACAGTAACCTTGATAAATATACCGTGCTGTATGCTCGTTTAGTTCATTACCATTCGAAAACAACACAAAAATAATGTGCCGTTTCCGGAGCCAATGGATGATAAAACTATTATACGGCAACATTACAAAACACTAATGCTACTTAAATTTTTTTAACTTGTAGATCTGTGTTACATTTTTAAATTTATTACAGGGAATTTTAAACTATAATTAAAAATCGAGATGAGTGACAAAAAACTGCCTACTGTATGGATTTTGGGTGAGTTGGTAAAATATTAAATTGAAATTTCGAATTAATTAAATTATATTGTAATGATATAACATTATAACATAATATACTTAAATATAATATAACATCTGACACCTTGTTTAAGAGTTTTCCAATGGTTGACTTACACTAATTGTGTAAACAGATTAATTATCAATTATTAATTTTTACCAGGTGGTCCCGGAAGTGGAAAAGGAACTTTATGTGACAAAATCGTTTCCAAATACGGGTTCACACACATTTCAACTGGTGATTTATTGAGAGACGAAGTAAATACTGGATCAGAACGTGGCCAAGAACTTGTGAAAATCATGAAAGAAGGAGCTTTGGTGCCCACAGTTAGTTTTAAAATTTTACCGTTAGCATTAAATTAGTTATTAAAATAATTAAATTTTCTACAGAGTGTTGTTATGGAATTGCTTAAAGAAAAAATTTCTAGCAAATTAGGATCATCAAAAGGTTTCTTGATAGACGGTTATCCACGTGAAAAACAACAAGGCGAAGAATTCGAAAAAGCTGTAAGTTATCATTACTATAATAACTTTTTTTTTTTGTAATTAGCTATTAAGTTAATTTTTTTGATTACCTAACATTCAATATTGTAAATGTTAGTTTATTGTGTTCTGATAATTTTTAAAAACCTAAGCTTACATTTCCAATATGTTAACAGATCGGTCCAGTAGATATGATACTGTATTTAGAATCTGACGATGACACGATGGTACAAAGACTACTGAAGAGGGCGGAGACCAGTGGAAGGTCAGACGACAACATGGAAACAATTAAAAAACGACTTGCTACTTTTCATACTCATAACGATCCTATTATTGAAGTTTATAAATCCAAAACTGTAACCATTTCAGCACAGCAGACGGCTGAAGCGGTGTTTTCAGAAGCTGAGAAGAGTTTAGATACTATTGTTGTGGCTGTGTGAAAATTTGTTGAATAAGACACATACTTGATACACAAACTTAAATTTACCTACATTTAATGCTGGTATAAATTACGCACGAAGGAACAAAATACATATTTACTTAAAATATAGTTACCGTCCTTGAAAAAAAATTATAAGTATTTTTAAAAATAATTAATAACATGCTCAGTTTTATAAAAATTATTACTATTTTTAATTTGTCATATTTTTGTTTAAATGACCTCTAAATTATTAGACTAACTCTAATCATTTATTTTTATGCGATATATTATATGATCATTTATATCAAACGCAAAAAGTCTATTCATCAGCAATAACTTATTACACTAATATTACCAGTGATTCCTATGAATTTTTAAGAATACATCAATTCATATGATAAATACTGGTGATTAGTATATATGTTTTGGTACACTATTCACATTGATGTTTAATTGTTATTATTTTATAAATCATTATATTCCTACTTTGGACTAAAATAAAGATTATTTTTGTGAGATAGAACAATATTATACTTTTGTGCTGTTTAAATAAATGTTATTACTGCTTTGAAAGTCTTTTTTATTTACAGACATCGACTTGGAAATGATTACTGGTTAATATACCTAATTTTAAAGTACTCAATAATGTTCAAAATCAATAGAAGTTTTCATAGCTTATTAAATATAAAGAGTTATAAAACGTAGCGTTTAGTTTGAACTTTTAATAAAATTATAGTAAGAAATACCCAAAATTATTACCACTTTAGGGGTTACCTGGATAAGTAAAATAAAAATATGAGTAAATGTTTATTTTTCAGTCATAAAATAATACATGGCTTGTAGTTTTCTCTCTTTTAAAGTTTTCATATGTAATAGTTAATAGCTGATACTTGATTAATCAATTAATACTATACAAAAAATCCAACATATTAAAATCAATATAGTATAATGAACTTCTTTTACTACAATAAAAAACCATAGTACAATGATAACACAACTGTACAATTAAATCTAATAATTGTTATTAATTTAACAAATAACAAAGTATTTTTAACAAGACATTAATGACTGAAATAAACGTGAGATAGAAAAGCAATATATGCTATAAGCCGTCTCAAAATATATTTTTTAATCTAAAATAATTTAAACTCAATAACTTTAAATTGACAAAATTATTAGTAAATTGGAATATTGAAAAAATAATTAGAATGGAATGAATCTAGATGTATTGGGTATTCTCTATATTTCTTGTTGTCTATATTGTAACATTCAAGAGTATTATTCGTGAATACCATAGCTTTATTTCCATTAAATGAACACATTATTGAATCTTGATCATAAATTGCTTTAAAAGAAACCAAGTCTTGACAAGAATCATCCACAGGACAATAACAATATAGAATTATATTGAATTGGTTATTGTAAGCTAAAATAGTATTTAGAAACATTTAGAAAGAAAATATGTAAAATATTTAATACTTAAAATTAACTGTTTGATTACCTAACATATAAACATTATCTAAGTTTGTAATTGCACAGATAATTATTGCATTTAAATGCAAAGGACGACTTCCCCAATCACAAAGTGTTGGATCAATTCTATTGTGACATAAATAAAACCAAATAGGATCACGTTCTTTGGTTATCATAACCAGTTGACTTTTGTACTCTAAACATGTATAAATTTTTCGATCAACTTTCTTTGTGAAGTTACATAAGTAGCTTCTTACTCGCTTCAATTCTGATTGATCTAAAATTATTATATTTTAAGAATAAAATATATAATTAATTTGTCTACTATATTTTAAACCAAAATACCTAAATTAAATCTTTCCATTAATTCATTTGGCAAACGGTGTTTTGTGAGGCCGCCAATGAGATATAGTTCATTTCCACAAAAATATCCAACACCATGACGTCTTTTGGTAGTCACAAAACTAAAATTGTTAGATACATTTATTATTCATTAACATGTAACAAGAAAATCATATTTAATGTTAATTTTTAATATTAAAAAACTGTACTTTTTTAATTGGCTCCATTGTTTTGTAATCATGTTGTATTTCCAACCAGTCTCATTCCATTGACCTCTACCATAACCAATTTCACCAGCCAAAATAAATATGTCCATGTCTTTATAAATCATATAAATATAATTAGCAAAGTAAAGAGTATTTATTGAAATTAAAATTACCTTTGACAACAACATGGTAACCAGTTGTATCTAAAGGCAACGGATCTAATTGAAGGAATTTTATAAACTTTAATTGATTCCAATCCCAACAATGAATATATGCATGGCCATTTTCTTCATTTTTAATTCCACAGAGAACATATGGAATATGTCTACCAGATTTCTCCATCTCAATACTCCTTTCAGATTTATGCTTTAAGTATTTTTCAATTTTATTTTTTAAATCTTGATTTTTTGTTTTAGTAATGCAATATTCTAACTGTTGCTTATTCATAGCATTAAAATGTACACATGCCAGTACTACTTCATATTCAACATCTTGTTTGTTTGCTTTAGTAGACCATTCTATAATTAAATCAAATACGTCAACCTCTTTTTCAACATTTAAGCCATTATCACATAGTAACTGGTACAAATCTTCTTCAGTTAATTTTAAAAACTCTTCTCTAAATTGTTTTATAAGTGTTTTAAAATAATAAAGGATATAAATACGGGCTTTTTCAAACAATTCATTAAGTCCAAGTTTAAATGTCAAACTAAAAATTTGTATAGCACTAGAAGAAAACAAAAACTGTTTTTCAATTATCAAGGTACATTTCTTAGTGATTTCATTAAATTGAAGAATTTGTGATGTTTCTAGTAAAATTAGAAATTCTGATATAGAATCTACTACAATTGAATTAGTTTTTAAACAATTAATTGTCCATACAAAGCCTTGATGAGAAATATCCTATAATAACAGATAGAAATATAATATAAATAAAATAATGTTATTTCAAAGCAATAAGGATTCACCTTAAGTGGAATTTCTTTTCCTGAATGTGATTCCAAAAATTGTCCACTGAACATAGCTTCAAAGTACAAACTATTTTTTATGAGAAACAATTTCTCTAGCACAACTTTATCTCCATTGTCAAAACAGAGAGTAATTAATTGTTCATTTCCAGTATTCATTCTATTAAGAGATATTCTTTTAAAATTATTATATATATTTAACTAAAATATACACTATGAATTCGCTACCTTTTTTAATACATTTGAGTAATAAAATCGTCCAAAACTCAATCAATATGTGTTACATTTTTGACAATGAAAATAACTATTATTTAAATAAATATAATAAAATTTTACTGAATAGAATGTCTATTGAGTAGACAACATAATTATTAGGTGGACAAAGCCAACAGTTGTTCTTTTGATCCATCAGAAATGTGTCAATAAATTAAATAAAATCTGTATTTTAAGAAAGAACTAATATAACCAATCTGTAACTCAGTCTAAAGATGTTGTTTATTTTTCGTTATCATTACTTCTATTATCATTCGCGGGATTCACTATCGTTACAGATTAAATGAAATTTCATTTAATTTGTGCTATCGTCATTGTTTCCGTTATGTAATAGTAGTTTAGTATACTTTTTTTAAAAATGATTGCCAAATATCTAGTAGTTGTAATTGAGTCCACTCTGCTACCCGGAAATCGTGGGGTATTTTTTATAATTAGGGGCTCATAGTCAAGTCCCTCCAAATTCCCTAAGAAATCCTTCCCTAAAAATTTTATTTTCATTTAATTATACTATGAATGACAGGATTAAGAGCATTGTATTTATAGATTAATGTTTGATTTTTATTTCAATGACACCTTATTTTATAAAAAAAAAATACATAAAACTACTAAATAGTCTTACAATTTATTTTCTTCAAAGGCGCTTAATATTTTTGATGATCCTAATTATATTTTCTCCCCACCCTAATTTTACGAAACATGTATATGAAAACATAATTTTTTTTATATTTTGTAGAGCAACTCGTTAACTTAGAGAGCTAAGCTCCTTTTTGTTGCGCCTATGACATGGTCTCTAAAAAAGTACAGTTCCTTGGATGGAGATCACCCCTCCTTTAATACAGAGTTTATTGAGTGGACATTTAAACTTTATAGTTAAAAGGGTTCAAAATATAATTCAACAACATAAGCAGATTTTAATGAGTGAATGACTACTTTTCTTTTAAATATAATTTTTTTAAAATACAACATTCAATTGATTTATTTTTGTTTTAATAAGATTTGTTTAACGTTATAAGTTGTATTATACTTAACATTTTACATTTATTAATATCACATATATTGTTTTTTTAATTATATTTTGAGAAAATATTTTTTTTTTAAACATTATAACTATAACAATATTCATACAGTTTTCTTGCTTTGAAATTAACGTTAAATTCATTAATTTAACAATTTAAAGGACTATATTGAATGTTTATAAAATTAAGTAAAATAATTTTCATTTATAATTTTTAATTTAAGCTAGCTTTTCAGTTTACTGAAAATTTTAAAGTTAGCGCATTTGTATATGAATAGAAAGATATTCTTGGTTATTTAAAATAAATGTTGTATAATTATTTTCTTAAGTATAACATTAAAACCTGATCAATTATTTTATTTTACTCTTCAAGGTAAATTTATCGATTGAATAAAAGTAATTAAATTAAAAAAAAACAGGCGTATCTGTGTAACTATGTTGACTATTTTAAATCATTAAATATATTCCGAGAAATGTCCACTACTCTTTCAAAATTACCTTTTGATAAAAAAAACATTTGAGTTAGAATGACATGTTTGATTGACTGTACTTATTACATTAATAATTCGCGTATTTTGCAGTAATCTATTGATTCATTCTTCGTGTAAAGCAAACCATTAGTTAATATTCAATTAAACCAACTCACTAGTAGTGCATAGATTAGATAAAATATGATTATGTTATATTATATTTATATACTCTTTATAAATATGGTAATAACTTTAGTAAGTCCTGCGGACTTGGGATTATCAAAATGCTTACAAGTAGTTCGTATAATAAAGCCAAAATACCACTTCACTAAAGGTTGCGCTACATCTAATATGAGAAGTTTAGCTAGTTCTAATGCATCAGACGCTGAACAGTGTGCTCGGTTAGCTGAATCCAATAATGCATTTGCATTTGCTTACACGAATATAACTGAAGGTGTGTTGCATAAATAAAAATATAGGGTTCTTTGGTAACTTACTGCTTTTGAACATTATTGATATTTTTTAACTGTACATTTAGTGTATTGAAAAATGGTGTAATTCCTTATTTTCTGATAAATAAAAGGTTTAATTTAACAACATTACGACTGATTCTTAAATAATTATTTTTATATATTATATGACTAAAATCAAATTCTCAACTTTATATAATACCTTGTAGTAAACATTTTTACAATAGCAAAATAGTGTATTAGAGGATTGGTTTCATTCTATATAAGACTACTGTCTATGTATAATTCCATTAGATTATTTTAAGCATTTGATATCATGCGCAATGGGAAGATTTGTTTATAAAAATTAAATACCTTTAAGTTTAAAACTATCTGTGACTATAGTATGCTGTAAAACATAAATTAATAATTAAATTAAGTAAAGCTATCAATAAGTTTGATCAAGATAAAATTAAGTTTTGGAGAACACTCCATATTGTTTTCTAGATAATATAATTATGTTTTTAATGAAACAAATGTGTTTTATTAATATTATGGGTGAGACTATAACCTAACTTTACTGTAATATTGCTTGGTTTTTTTATTTTATGAATAATTTAATATAATATAATTATTTTAACAATTGCATGCTATTAAAATTACATCACTTAAATCTTATAATTTAATTTATTTTACCAAAAAAATTAATACATAATAAAATTAAATGTTTAGGAGTAAATATAACTATTAGTTCAACGTGTGTAGTATTCGAGTGTCCAGAATATCACGGATTTTTGACCTCTTCAATTGCAGATCAATCATTATACAATTATTATAGTGCTTATTCAAAGCCATTACGTAAGTATAAATAAAATTTTCAGTTTATATCATTACAATTATATCCAAAAGGTTATAGGTTAAAAAATATTCTTATTTCATTCCTGAAGTAGGGATTAGTGATAGTTGATTACAGGAGTACAGGTTTAATGAAAATAAATCCTAAAACTTAAATTATTTATAAATAATATTAACTTTCTAAGAAATATAAAAAGTATTAAAATAAATCATGTACTTTTAATTTAAAAATTGTGAGGAATGTTTAAAAGGAAAAAAATTATAATCTGAGCAAATTTGACAGCTAATGAGAATTACACATGCATTCCTGGTCTTGGCGTATTTGATATAATAACAAACCGTATGAATTACTCCGATGCAATAGAGGCATGTATTGATGCAGGAGGTCACTTAGCTAACATAGTCTCAGATACACGCACATCATTACTAGCTTCTTTAGTGTCATCTGCTCTCACCAATTATACAACTAAACATCAAAGGGCGTTTGTGGGTCTATTCTTTGATGAACATTTTGTAACTATCACAGGTGAAAATAAATAATTTTATTTTACAAGTAATAATATAATATAAAAAATAGCTACTGAGCTCAAAATTTTGGCCTTAATTTATATTAAATAATTATATGTAAAGTATATTTTACAAATAGGAGAACCACTTGCTTGTTTACCCTATAGAGCTTGGGCACCAGGACATCCAAAATCTAGGAAAATTAAAAAAGACTGTGTAGTTCTTACTAGCAACAGATACTGGGAAACAGAAGATTGCTCAAAAAATATGCCATTCATTTGTGAGCTTATTGCTGATGGCCCAATGAGTGCTGTTGAAAGATATTGCGCTCCAATAAAAAATCATAGTTAGCATACTTTCAAATACCTTGAAAATAATATTGTATAAAGTTATTTTTAAATCTTGTTATAGGAAGAAGAAAAAATTGTATAGTGCGCAATTACAAGCAATTTGAACAAATCGAGCAAACAGAACAACAATGTATTGATATTATGAACAACTCTGTTGGTACATAGGAAATTACAGAGATTTAAAAATGAAAAATTAAGTACAAAATGACAAATAGTTATATATAATATTATACTATTATTATTTAACAGAGAATACAATTATCATACATATTATAAAAATAAATATTGCTAATGTTTTAAACAATACTTTGTAAAAATTTTCTAATCATTGCTTTTGGTAAAATAAAAAAACTAATAGAAGTAAAAAATATAACCAAGTAAATAAATATATTAATTACTGATATAAATTCTCAATATCCGTTTTGTACTTTTCATAAATCTCTCTCCGTTTTATTTTAAAGGCTGCTGTTACCAAATCATTATCTGGTGTCCATATCTCAGTGCATATTTTTAGGGCAACAGGTATTTCGAACCTTTGAAGTTTATCTGAATATTCACAATTTAAACAACTATAATATGTTTTAATATATTAGTATATATTTTTTACTTACTACTTTGACCATAAGCTGTTAATTCATCTAATACCATTTTTACAAGTTGTTTGTTTGTATATAGTTCTTCAGGATCAATATTTTTTGGATCTTCAATACCTAATTCTAAAGCCATACTTAATAGATGTGGACGATTGGGAACAATTAAAGCAATTGTGTGAGTCTTAAAAGAATTTCCATAAATACATATATTATCTATAATGGGACAAGTTTTGAGCTGGGATTCAACTTTTCCTAAAGATACATATTCACCGCCTTGGAGTTTTACTAAATCTTTTTTACGGTCTGTTTTAAAACAATATACATATATTAAATATATAAAGCATTGAATTAAAACATGTGTTCTTTTACCTATAATTCTGATGGCTCCATCTAATTCAAGGAGTCCAATATCACCAGTTTTAAACCACCATTTTCCATCTTTTTCAAAATATTCTTCTTTAGTCTTTTCTAGATTTTTGTAATAACCAGGTGACACATTTTCTCCCCCTAAAAGTAAGTGAAAATTGTTTTATTTAAAAAATATTATATTTATTTAAATAATTTGTTTCATTTAACAAAATAATTTGTAACTTAATATTTATTTTGGAAAAGTATTTACTGATTTAGTGCACCAATTGTTAAAAAATGAAACGGTATTAAATGTCAACCTGATTGGTTTCAGAAAATTCTTCCTACCTATTATAATTTCACCTCTAGGATAAGGTTTGTCATGAATAGTATAACCACCTTCACTCCAGCTAGTTAATATAAAATCATTGACTGTCAATGGAGCTCCAGCACGGCCAATAGACCTATCATCACCTTTAAATTAATTTAATCTATTAGTATAAATCACTATTACTTCAGAATATCTACTTACGACTCATTGCACAACCACAAGAACTGGTTTCTGTCAATCCATATCCTTGCATTACTATATCACAGAGGCAAATTTTAATAAGAACATGAGTCTCTGGTGTAAGAGGAGCTCCACCACATAAAATTAAACGTAAACGACCACCCATTAAGGAACCAGTTTTCTTGAAAACTAATCTGAAATGTTTTTATCATAGTAATTTACTAGAAAAATGTTAGAAAGTTATATGAATCATTGTAACTCTTTATATATCAACTATATTTATTTCAATAAATACATTCAAATAATATTCAAATGATAATTTACATAAAAAAAGATCTAAGTATATATTTTTATGTTATCTGAAAAACTACATAAATAGTACAAATATGTATTAGTGTGAGAAAGCATAAAGATCTTATTATTCCACAAAAAGATTTTAAATGTTTTATATACATTGAAAATAATTTATTTTTAAAAATATCTACTAATTAAGAAATATTCTTTATTAAAATAATTAATTTTTATACGATTAAAGGTAATTGTAAATGATGTAGTCTTAACCTGCTTAAGAATACAGACACAAGATCTATTGTAGATAAAATTATTTAATAATTTAATATCTTAGTTCATACTTATTCATTAACGGAGTTTGAAAACCACGTTCCATCCATTTTTTTTTATAATCAAATGCAAATTTGAAAAGTGTTTTTTGAAAAGTTGATCCACCAGATACTTTTTCATTAATACCTTTGTAAACACGATCTAAAATAAGCTAAAAAAAAAATGACAACAATTTCTTTAGAAATTAATGTTAGTAAAACATTAGAAGTAAATTTAAAAACAAAACAATTTTTGTTTTTATGTATTCAATACTATTCAATATACAAGAAAATAATAATGTTCTTATTTACATTTGAATATAATTTACTATAAAAAAAAGTATAAGTAAGGAAGTATAACATCTATATTGGATAGTGAATACTTAAATAAATAAAAAATATATTTAGTTGAGACTTTCATGATAAAATTTCTAATAAAAATTGAAGTAATGTTCTGAATAATTAGTAAAAATTAACTTAAAAATATCACCATTTTTCTCTACTAAAAATATTTCTAAGAAGAATAACAAAATATTCTTTAATTATTAAAACTTACAGGAACTGCAGTCATTATACTGGGTTTTAAGACACGAGCATCACCTTTTGTTCCACGTTTAATTTTGCTTGATGAATCAATCATAGTGAGTGGAGTTGAATAACCAATTCGAATTCCACAAAACAAACATGAAAGTTCTAAAAACAAAAATCAGGTTATAAATAACAATTAAGGAAAATATCAAAAATAATAGTTGTGTATTTTCAATTAAAATTAAGCTTTAGCTTATTTATGGAAAATATGAATATAAAATATAACAAATATGAAATTTTTTTAAATATTTTTTTAACCGAAAGACAAATTAAAAAAAGTGTATTTAATATTATTAAATATAGATCTTTTATTTAATAATACAGAAATATGCAATTTTTAGTCATTTTTACTGAAATATACATTATTGTATGAAGGAAAAAAATTATACATAGAATCTACAAATTACTCCAACAATTTTAATTAAAATAACTCTAGTTACTTTATAGGAAAACATGCATTTCCACAAAAATTTAGGCCTTAATTAAAATTGTAAGTAGAGAAATTTTTTTATATCTAAACTAGAAATAATTATTTCTAGAATAATGTAATACAAGTAAGTTATTCAAACTTCTTTTTTTATTTGAAAAAATTAATTAATTTTTAAATGTTAAAAAATCTAAAATAATTTTTTTTTTATAAAAAAATTAAAGCAATGAAAATTTTTTTTTTTAACATTTATTCAAAAAATGTTGAAGAAGTTAGTAACTGTGGGTTTACTAATTATAATTTTAGTGAAAATTTACATAGGAAACACCATTTAGTATTATACAAATTCAATTGACCAGTAATCTGTGGTCTTTTTCTGTTTTATTTATAGATTGAGAATTTCTAGAATTTTTTTTGTATATTTCAGAGAGATAATAACTCCATAACATTCAATAATGGTGACAGATAAGTGAAAGTATTTAAAAGATTGATGTTTATCGAGTTATGTATCGTATAATTTTGTAAATTGATTTATATTGATGTTTGTACTAACCTGCAAGTAATTCAAAAACATGAGCAAGAGGTAGATAACCCATAAATACATCATTTCCATTATCAACAGAAATAGCATCATTGAATGCTTTAAGTGTAGCAATAAGATTTCTATGGGTAAGATTGACACCCTTTGGTTGTCCTGTTGATCCACTTGTATACATAATAATTGCTATATCAGTTGTGGCAGGAAAATTTTTTTCTAAGAGATAGTTAATATATTCACTTTAATATGAAAAAGATTATATAAATTGACAGTGATCTCAGACATAAGGTGAGGGCTCATTTTCAAATGTTACACAAATGACGGTTAATAAGATTTCTCTTAAAAATTAACTCAAAATGTGTCTAATTGTATAGTTTAAGGGAACTTATTAAGCTTAATAATTTTATTTTTATTTTTTATCACTTAAGTCTCGAGTAGACTTAATTTATTAACTTTAATAATATTAAATTAGAAAGTTGATAATAATAAATTAATTTTAGAATCTAATCTAAAAAATTTACCTAAAGTTGAAAAACTAGTTCCTCTTTGGAGTAAAGATTTAAATGATATTATTTCTACAGAATCTTTGAAATCAGTAGTATCAGTTTCAGTTAATTGATCTTCCATGTAGATCAAAGTTTTTACTAGTGGAGTGAGTTGAAGAATTTTTTTGAATTTTGGTAACAAATTATGTGATGTAATAACAATAGTTACTTCAGTTTCATTTATACCATGTGCAATAGCATCATCTCCAAGAGTAGCATACAATGTTACAACTGTAAAATAATTACAAGATAATTTGAAAGAAAGAAATTTGATTTTTACGTTTCAAAAATAGCAATTTCCATAAGAAGCAGCATTACTGAAATTTATTATTTTATTTTGCTCTCCAAAAAAAATTACTAAAAATGATATATAAGCTTTTAAAAAATACATAAAGTACATTTTGTTTCTGATATTTTTAAGTAATTAATTAATTGCTTATGAATTAAAGTACTTTATTAGAATTTTATAATATTTTAAATTTGAGTTATTTTAATTTACCAGGTAAATTTTGTTTAAAGCATCCTTGAACAGCTATCATCCATTCTCTTCTTGTTTCAGCATAGATTGCTATGTTACATTTGTTTTTTTGACCCAGAGATATTATTCCATTTCCAAAATGATCTGATGCTTCATCTACTTCTTTATAAGTCATCCATTGATATTCACCCATAACATACTAAATTTAAACATAAATTATAATTGAATATTACAGAAAGTTATTAATACTTTATTCTATCACTAGTTGTAATGAGGCTTTGATTATACTAGGAAAAGCTATTGAGAATAGTTTGATGGACTACTCTAGATGTGAAGCTCACATGAAAAAAATTTCAATAGATCTGATATTGCTTAACTTAAATTAGTTGAATATTTTATGAAATTAAGATGTGTCAAAATAAGCGACACCTAGCTTTAACTCACTTATGTTTTTTTATAAACAATATAAACAATATTTGCATTGAAGTCCCTAACCTTTTTTTTTCACAATCAAACTGTTTAATTTTGAATATTTTATAACATATTCTTAACAATTTTTTAATGAATGATAGAATTATTAAATCAAATAATTTATCTTCACAAAGTAGTAATTATTAATTATCTTACTTTTTTAAATATTCTTCCATTTTTTTGTATTTCATCTTCTTCGGCTAAAATTTGCCGAGTTCCTAAACAGTTTGAATCTCTATGATGTTCTACTGCATATTGAAATACTTTATATAATGTATCAATTTTATCTTTTACTATCATAAGATGACCCGGAGAAGGTTCACTTAATGTTTGAATAAGTATTGAATTGTCATCTAAATTTGTCACTTTAGACTAAAAGAAAATAATTCAAAAATTATGAATAAGAAATAACTTCAGTTTGATTAGTTAAAAGTAAATAAATTAATTTATAATCTAAAAGAGTCAAGTCTACAACTAAAATATTTGTAAAAAATTGTAAGAACTCAACTCAACTTGTAAGACAGTTAAAAAATAGTAAAATATTGAAGATTTTTTTGTTCGTTTTACATTAGTTACATGTTTTTCTCAAATAATAAATCGTGAAGTATCTTTATGTCTTATAAGAGTAGCAACTTAATTTATTTTAAACGAGAATATACATAATTAACTAGATTATTTGATAGATAATGATCTAATCAAGAAAATGATTCGTCAATAAAAACTTATAAACAAATATTTATGAAGTTATTATTAGTTTGACATAGGAAGTGCAGCTGAGAAATATCTCATAATAGAAATAACAAAACTCGTACGCTTCATTACCAGCCATTAAATAAATTTTTTAATAGCCCATGGTATAATATATATATATTGTTGAAATATTACATATGGTATTTAAATTAAATAAGATAACCATCATCAATTATTTTCTACAGTTTTAGTTAACTGAATTATGGTAATAATTATAAAGTAAAAAATACTGTGTATAATTACTAGATAGTGGATTTTTAGATTTTTAAAAACTCAAAAATCTTTAGAACGGTTATCACAAAAGCCTTGAATTGTATGCCAAAAATATTTAAATATAATTAGTGATGCATTTAAATGTCAAATTAAGTGCATTAACACACATTTTACTTTGCTTCCAAAACCAATAAGGTCTGATTTTTGTTTAAGCAATATCATATTATTATTATAATATCGAGTCTATTGAATAATGTAAGACTATTTTTAGTCTAATTGGAACATTATTCAAAAAATAAATTTTTAGCAAGATTAAAGATGAGTCACTCTCTCAATTAACAATTTATCATATGATTAAAAACTACGGCCAAGATAATGACCTTTAAATTATGTGAAGAAGTGATCACCTCTTTTACTTGACAACATAACTACAAAAAATTCTTTTTAATGTACTAAAAAGAAGATTGGTCAATTAACATGGTTTTGTCAAAAAAATTTCATGTTTTATGTTTGATGTTGCACTGACTATAGAAAGAACTTAACATTCTTCAGTCTAACATTATAAATTTGTTATCAATCCAAGTCATTTTGAATCTGTTTCAAGTTATTTGTGATACCCATTATGTGCCATAAAACTTTTAAGATATGCTCTAAATAGTCCCTTTAAAACTGATAAAGTATGATTAAAATATAATAAAACCAAAACATGAGTCAGATCAACATTGGTGAGATGTAAACAATCATAAATATGGAACTGTTAAAAATTTTAAAGAGAATGTTAACAGTTATTATTCAAACCGTTGAAAAAATTATTAGAAACTTCTAACACAAAAACAATATACTAACTTTCATTTCATTGGATTTGTTTATCTTAATCCATGGTTGTTGTAAAATTAAATATATTGGATATGTTACAACATCGTAGATAAAAGATAGGGTATTGAAAGCTGACAGTAATGCAGCATTTTCCATACTGAAAAAAATGAACATTGTTATATTATATATTATAATAAAACACAAATACACACATTATAAAATGCAATTTCAAAATATAAGCTGTGATTAATTTTTTTGATATATTAAAAATTAAAAATAGAGTCAATTAGCAGCTGTGATAATTAATTTTATATAAAAAGCCTGATTACTTCTTTGTATAAAGTATACTATACTTTATAATAATATAGTACATTAATATATAATAAGTTAAACTTCTATTTTATAAGTTAAATTAAAAATTAATAACAACTAATATTTTGAATAATTATTTAATCATAACTTTGATAAAGTAATTAAGTTTTCATTTCAAATTTTGTTTAAGCTTACTATGTATGCTACCTTAACTAGTAACAGCTAATAATTTTAAGATTTACAAATTTGATATTATTAAAATATTTTAATCCTAATGATCAAAAGAAACAATGTTGCTTAAGTTGATTATTCTTATTAATAATTATTGAGAAGTGAATTGATTTGATTATATATAATTTAGAATACCAATATGGAATATATATATTAAAAAAGGTTATCAACAAATAATATTCTGATATAAAACTAGTATTAGACTTTTTAGGATATAGCACACAAAAAAATATAATAAATACTATAAAAACAATAACATAAAATTTAAAAAAGTTGATAAAATATAGAAAATTTTGTATGACAAACAAAGTAATTGTTATTCACATAAGAGTTAATTAACTTTTAAAAATAAATGATTGAAGAACATTCATAATAATTAGAGATTACTGATTTTTTCATATGAATATTATAATAAAAAAATCAATGTTAAATAAATTTACTATAAATATATTTTTTTGTAGACTTTTTCAACATAGATCTTAATTTAAAATTACATAAATACAAGTTTATCGTTGCTGAGAGTATACAGTTAAATATTGGATTTTCTATTAATTACCAACAATGATAATTATAATAATTTATTTTGTAAAGGAGTTATTTCATAACTAGTAAAAATTACTTTGAACATTCATTGTTAAGTCTATTTTATTGTAGTTTAAATAATAAAAGATATTAACATTTATAGAATATTTTATAAAATATTAAAATTTCATTCATCTAGGCTATTTGGATTTGGAAATTATATTAAATAGATCATGATAATAAGGAAAATACTTTTGGTTTTGGCTACAATTTATTTAAATAAAGGTGTGTGCCATTGTATCAAAACAATGAAAAATTTTGATATGTTCTATTCCACTTAATATATAGTATTGGTAATTTAGTAGTAAAAAAAAAAAAAGCAAGTCTCTTGAAAAAATAAATATTTAAGATTTATTTGGTGAAATAACCAAATTTTTATCAAGATGTTTAATGGTTTTATGGTACTGTTTTAACTTTGTAATTTATTGAATTATTAACAATATCAATACTTAATTGTTAAAAATTAAAAATATTTTTAGTCAGTTACAGTTTACTAATTCAGACAGCTTTTTTACAATATTAAATACTGTCATAAATACTTACTTAGATTATGTTAGTAAAAAAACTTTCCAGATAATTAAGTATATTTGTAAGCAGTGAAGTTAATAAATGGTGAAATGTTCACTATGACAACATTATAAGTTTATTAACGTTTTCTATGATTGAATCGGTAAAAATAAGTACTAATAGTAATACATTTGAAAATTCGATTTTATTTGAATAACAATATAATAAAACGTTTGAGTGTATATAAAATATAAAAACACCAAATATGATTCAATTTTTATTAATAATGAAATTTATTAATAGTATTTTTTTTGATAGTGAAACTTTAAAGAATTACAAGTATTAATAAAAATATATTTATAAATAAAAAAAAAAGTACGAAAACCTAAGCGTGTCCGCGTGTAATCAAAAGAATATACAGAATACTATCGTGCTTATACCGACTACCTCCTAGAACCTTCCATCAATATCATAATTGGCGCACGTACCGTTAGATAATAACATTAGGTATGATTGTTATCAATATTTTTCTCTTTCTACTACTATCAATATTCTGCACACATAAAAACTACGCTTACGTTTTAAGTATCGTGGGTGGAGTGTGGAATAATGAACACTACCGAGTGAATACTATCGAATTATTCGATAGCCAAAAACTATCGATTCTACCTTTGTTTTCAAAAACTATCAACAGAAACGAATGTTTTTCGATAGTTTTAGTTATCGCACAATCGACATCGAACAACTGATTGTCGAACTATTACCATGAATAATACGATTACTAATCACATTGACGCACTTCAGAGAGTGCTGGAAAGTGTTTTAGCGCCTTTGAACTCTAGTGATTAATCCAAATTTTAACACTTAAAGTTTCAACAAAATATTTTTATTTATAAAAATTTACTATCAGTTATTTCTTTATAATTTCTTTTTTTTGCATTACGTTTATATTATATTAGTAATATAATATTACTATTGTAGAAAATAAAATCGTCATTTTGCGAATGCTGGGGCATTTTAATATTAATCCAGCGATCAACCATAATTATTAGTTCAGATAAACAGCTATTTATATTAATTAGGTAAATCGGGGGTGAAGGGATGGTAGCAATTTCTGGATTTTTCTCCAGTTGCATCACTTGCTAACCATTCAGTATATTACAGTGACGTAACCAGAGGGTTTCTCGGGTTCAGACCCCCATGAACATAAATTATAGTAGCAGGGGTAATTTGGGTAGATGAGGTTCCCACTACTATGCGATCTAAAAGCTATTGAGACTCATACAACATTTCTAATTGCATTACTATTATATTATGAGGGTAAAATAACTAAATGAAACAATAAAAATTTGTATGACTAAATACTTTTGACTATCGAACTATCAAGTAAAATATACGGGCGGTTTTATTCGAATGAAAACTATCAAAACCAAATCCAACCCAACCCAACCCAACCGATAGGTTGATTGTCTAAAATTAGTCTTGAATCGACTTATTATTCGATGGTTTTAAAAATTACTGGATATACACGGTAATCAAAACTATCAAATTTGATAGTTTTTATCAGTTATCACTAATCCTATGCTGTTAGTATACATATTTATTACTATTAATTTTATCATAATGCTATACTCTGCGAACAAAAAATTTAAAAACACGTAAATATAACCACATCAAGTCGTTTACCGTAATTTAATAAATGAGAAATACACAATAATCATAAAAAATATTATGGATACTTTACTTACCTATCATCTAGCTTAAACTGGTGATTATTATCGATTTTTATTTCTTTAGTTGAATTCAATTTTTTAGTATTTTTAAAATGTGAAATGATAAAATATAACTGTATTATAACTATACTGTACTACTGTATATATACGACTGTCAAGGTAATATTTGTACTCTGTATTAATATATAAATATATGATATAAACACAGTATACATAAAACAATGATAATATTTTTGGTAGGAGAGGACAAGGCCTCAAAAATAAAAAAACAAAATTATTAAATTCTGTTTTCAATGATTATTGAAAACAGTTATCAGTTATAATTGATAATTATTTTTTATTTTTATTAAATTCCCTTAATCTAAGTATAAGTATCTAGGGAACATAATTAAACTTATCTAAACTATTGAGTTTTATTCCCTCGAATTTTTGATAAAATTCCACCAATTCCGTATAGTATTATTCAAAGTATAAAAATAATTGCATATTATGTAATTGTTTCTAACATGATTCATTTATTTAATCAAAATAAGAATTTTGAATGCTAAAACAATTTAGGTATTACTAAACATTCTAATCCGTTATTTTATTTCACCGACGTAAGATAGTGAACTAAGTTCTGTGAAGTATTATGTAATACATAATCTGTGTAATTTAAGCACTAGAAATTGTCTTTCAGAAGTTCATTTTTATAATCGAGATATCATATATTAGTGCAATTAATGGAGATGAACAATAAAAACAATACTAATTGCGTATAAATATATCATTGCATGACTAAAACTAATTTGAGTTTCATGATATAATCCTTGTACTTAATACATCATTACTACACATAAAATTATATGATTGTAAAGATTGGGAAGTAAGATATAATAAGACCCTGAAAATACATGTAGTATGTTAAAAGTGAATGGTTAGTAAAGATTAAGTTCTAAATTAAAAATTGAATAAATGTGATATACCATTTTTTTGGATCATTACATTGTAAATTAAAATATACAGGGTGTTCAGTAAGTCAGGAAACGGGTTTCTATTGTTCTCATTGTTTGTAACAATGAGAACAATAGAAACCCGTTTCCTGACTTACTGAACACCCTGTATATTTTNTTTTTACATAATTTCTTTTTTTTAACCTAAATATTATTATTATTATGATGATGTTTAAATAAAATAATATATCTGATATTATATAATTTAACTTATTCAAATAATGACCTAAAGAAAAATTCTATTCATTTTAATAGACTTAATTATTGGAATGACCAGAAATTTATCATAGTTATATAAAATTAAAACTAAGCTTTTTAAATATTTTAATAGGGGGTAATTTTATTTTAAATAAGTCAGAATATTCATATATTTAGTATCAAATAATGAAAATTTTAAACTGCCATATAAACATAACAACAATTTATGACTAAACCAACATAATTAACAGCATAAATTTAATATATTTACAATACTAATGATTAATAACAAATAGAAAAATAAAACGTCTGTAAGGTCTTTTAAAAGTAATAATTTTGGTTAATTTGAACGATAAATTTAAACTGTTTTTAGCAAATGGAAAAAATATTTTAAAAACTGTAACAAATTCATTGAGTTTTTTAAACCCAATGGATAGATATTTAAAAAAATGAATACTGAAGTCAATCGAGCCATGTAGTAAAAGTGAAAAATACAAATAAAAGATAAGTTCTTGAGCAAATTGGCAACGTGGTATTGATAAGCGTTAGAACGTTTTTAGCGCTCTGTCCCTTCTAATTATACAGAATTATCAAAGCAACGTTGCCAGTTTGATTATGAACTTATTGTTAAACCGCAGGGCACGAGAGAATGCTATTGAGTAAGATAAGAACTTATTATTTTACAATTTGGCCGCTGAGTTGCGTTCTTTCATACAGTATATCTATCGCACTTTAATTTTGTTCACTCGGTTATTTCAATTTTTCGCTCTTACTCTTACTAATTGATTTCAGTATTATTTTTTTCAAATATCTGCCTATCAAATTAAAAATAATCAATGAATTTGTCAAAAATTTATTGTGTAGTTTTCAATTTATTGCTCTTTTACATTAATCATTGCATATGACTATTTTTATCAGTAAACATGTCTTGGTTGCACTTTTCCAACCTCTAAGATATAAAAACCCTATATTTTGCGATGAATGCCCGAGAATCACGAAAAAGCGTTTTATGAGGCATGTTCCATTAAAAACCTCCGTAAAATCTATCTATGCGTGTATATTATTAAATATTTAAGTAAATATACAATTTGTATTTATTTATCAAAAACAAATAAAAAATACAAACAAATTAATTATTTCATATGAGTATTTTAACTTCTAAATATAATTGATATGTTAACAGCTTTTAATTTTATTAATAATATTATTTTTTAAAGTAATATTTTTCAAAATTGTAATCATAATGTTACCATAATTGTCATGAATATTCCTTATAGAATTCGATAAATGATAAAAAATAATCCGTTCAAGAATAGAAATTATCTATTAATTTTGTTAAAAGTTTAGTGATTATTGACCAATTTTCCATTGATAATTTGCTGTTTAGCACACAGTAGTAGTTGTCACAATTTGTCACTGGTACAATTTAATATTATCTATCATACAGAAATCTTATCTTTAATAATTCAGGTTTATTTATAGACGCATATTTATATAATTAATGCAAAATTACTATCGTATACTGTTGAATGATCAGCGAGGAAAAATTTTCTTAATAAATACCACAAAAAATTTATGATACATTTAAACAGTTAATTGTTGCCTTTAGTATTTTTAAAACCAAAAAAATAATGAAATTGTATTTTAAATCAAAAATTTTAACAATTTTCAAATGATGGACTATCCCATTAGAGAGTATAAATGGTTAAGAAACTTCCTCTAAGGGAGGACCGTAAAAACGAAAAAAAAAATGTTTTGAAGAATGAAATCAAAAATTAAAAATGCCTTATAGTTTTTATGAAAATAAATGCATTATCCTTTATGAAACATCTTGTATATAAATATTAATAATTAGTGATGTATAAAATACATAATAAACTTTATATACAATTGCATTATTTAAATTTATCATATTACATAATCTACCAAGTATACTATAGTGAAAAGGGTTGAATAAAGTGACCATTAAAATTCAATCGATAAGTTTTAAATAGAACTGCGTTTCTATTTATTCGTGTCTATTTTCCGACTATACAAAACTAACTTAAGTATCTAATACCTACAGCGATTAAGGAAATATGATACGTTCTGGCCTCAACACTACCTTTAGTTAATTGAAAAAAAATGTGTGACAAAGTATAAATCAATTTTCTTCTCGAGCAGAATTAACATAGTACTGTATTTTTTTTTTTTTTTTTTTTTAACTAATTCTTAATTTTACAGTACTTGTCCTAAAATTGTTATCGACCCATCAAAATGTTTTGTAAGAATAGGGCTAAAAATGGCTATTAAAAAAACCCAGCATAGGGGGGTCGCGGCACAGTGGTGATGTGGCATAGTTGGATCAAGTATAATTATATCTGACAGTGATTTTAATTTAATTTTTAAGTAAAAAAAATTAAAAAATTAGCGATTTTTAAATTTGTAATTTTTTTGGAGGTTTCCCCATTTAATTTTTTCAATTTTTGAGAGTAATGTCTTCGACTAAATACGATTTGTGATCTTTTGACGTATCGTTGAAAGAAATCGGTTCGGTGAAAGCTGAAGAAAAGTGGTAACAGACAGACACAAAAAAAAAAAAATAAAAA